GGGGGGGGAACGGGACGCAGCCGCTCTTAATTAACCTGGTTTAGATGATGAAGATGAAGGCTGCATCTCATATGTCCTCAGCTGTGCTCTCGTGGGTGGGTGGAGAGGCAAGTCCTCTTAGGAGTGAGGTCGTCCTCGTGTAGGAAAGACATGGGAGCTCCTGTTCGGGTTTTAAGGAAAATAAGGATGTGAAAGGTGGGGTGGAAGAGGGCATTTAGGAAACCTGGGCTGTAGTTTGCTCCTTCCTCACCTGAACCAGCTGGGAGCGATGGGGCACTGAGGGGGTCCTTTGCAGAGGTGAAGGGATTCAGGTGCGAATTTTGGGGGTCTGGAGCAGGGACTGTCACGGACGGCTGAATTAATCCGCTTTTTCCTTCCCCCTCTGCCGGGGGCTGGTGGTTTCTCTTACAAACGTCTGGAAACCACCTGCGACTCCCAGTCTCCTCTAGTAGCTGCGTTCACCCAAAATAAACCCCTGAGCTCCTGGGTGGGTCCCACACCTCCCCAGGGAGCTCTCATCATTAGGGACGCTTACAAAGCGCTTGGAAGATGTTGGGATGGAGCAAGCATGATGAGAAATCCTTGTGGCATGGTTCAAACGATGCCAGGGAAGAAATTTGTGGTGACTTTGACCCCAAAAGTGCCCTCCTGCTGTAGATGAGAACATCAGGGCACTGGGGTTCTTTGCCACCCACCTCCTCGGGGTGCCTGAGTCCTCATATCCCCTGTACCGCTAGTTCACCCCAAAAGTAGAGGTGACGTAGCAGGAGTGCGCTATGGCTAAATTAATATAGCCATACATAAATTAACATTAGATATTAATAAATAATTAAATATGAATACGTTAATAATTAAATACTAGCAGAATAATATCGAATAAATTAGTAAAGACTGCAAACCATTTTTTGTGGTTAACGTCACCTGCCCAGGATCTTTGCCAGCTTTCAGATAAACCACCTGCTCTCTCGCCAGCTTTTTAAAATCTTCTATCTGTGTGTTTTTTCTTTCCGGTGGCTGCTTCAGCTCTTAGATCTGTTCATCCAGTGGGACTGGTCAACGTATTTGGCTGACTACGGGCAACCCACGTGCAAGTATCTTCGCGTGAACCCGACGACAGCCCTCATCCTGCTGGAAAAGTGAGTGCGGGTCCGGACACCCGGGATAGTTTTCACCCCCATCTCGCTTTGGGCAAGCGCGTGTTTTAGCAGCTCGTTCCATCATGTGCGGTGCTGGGATGGAGCAGCCTGGGGAGCAGGCGGCTCCTTGTGATCTGGTGGGCAAAGCTTTCACCTCCGGGTGGACAGTGGGAGCTCAAATAGAAAAATCCTATTTTATCCCACTAACCTGAATCCCAGGTTTTGTATCAAAATGCCTTGGTTTGGCTGAGGGTCTGTCTTTCTGCTTCACTCTTAAGCAGAGTTTTCCTTGTCTTACAACAGAATTCCACTGTAAAGGTGTATCTCAAGCCCCCAGACTCATTTAAAATTTGGTAGCCTGCAGGCATGTGTAACTGCCCCAAGCCTGTCAGTGTTTAAGAGGCATTTGGACAATGCCCTTAATAACATGCTTTAACTTTTGGTCAGCCCTGAAGTGGTCAGGCAGCTGGATCAGATGATCATTGTAGGACCCTTCCAGCTGAAAATATTCTATTCTGTTCTGTTCTATTCTGTCTCCCTTCTGTTGGATCCACGGAGAGGATCCAAAGCCCAGCTATGGAACAGGGACAGTGTCTTTAGGTGGCTGTGTGCTCCAGGGCTTGCCCTTAGCAAGAACATGCTCTTTGATAAGGCTGAATCAGAGCCTCTTTCAAGCCTGTAGTTCATACGCTTTGCACAGCTTCAGCCCAAGCCCTGGAGCTGTGCCGAGGAGCAGCGCCGGGACGTGCCGGGCGAGCGCTGTGTGGCCTCTGCGGGGCTTTGGGATCCCTCCTGAAGCACAGCGAAGAGGCTTGTGCCAGTCCTACAAGCCAGCAGCAAGGAGGGAAAGCCCATGAGTTTGCTGCAGACCCAAAGAGTGGGATTTGCTTCGCTTGTAACCCCTTTAGCACGTGGTAGAGAAGTGCCACCAGTCACCCATCCTGCCCGTGGCAGGAGGTGGCCCAGATGAGCCTTTCTCTGGTAGACCTCCAGGCTCTCATTGGGAGGATCAGCCCTACTCCTGCCCCATCAGACCTCACAGCTGGTCTTCCGGCTGATCTGACAGAGAAGTAACCTGCCAAAAATGATAATTAATGATTTTCCAAGCAGCTCATGCCGTGGGCACTCCACTGCTAAGTCTTGCATGGAGGAGTAGGCAGGATAAGTGAGTTTGCAGTCAGATTTGGTTAGGTTTACCATTAAATCAGACCCTTAGGAGGAGTCTGAGCTGTTTTTTGGAGTTCCTCTCTTTCTCCATTGCTTGCAGAGGAGGAGATGGCTAGTTTAGAGTTGGGGCTACACTTTTAGCAGACCGACCTTGGTGTGCTTCTGAGCTTTGGAGTTGCATCTGTATTATCTGTGGTCCACATAACCGCACAGCTTCCTCTCTCGCAGAGGAGAATAGCTAATTTCACAGCAACTCATGACATCCAAATGTTATCAGTATGGTACACAGGGACTAAACTTAGGTAGTTGCTGTGTGTAAAGCACTTTTATACATTATAGCATTGTTTTTATATACATATTTATATGTGCTGTGTAATATGTTGTGTTACTCGCAACCTGACATCCATGATGGAAAAGCGTGAGGTATATTCAGAGCTATCAATAAAATGGCAAAACTCTGAGAGCTTGGACATGAGGCGGCTGGAGGATCCAGGGAACTGGGAGCAGGCAGTGAGCTGGGATCTGTGGCAGTTGCTGGGAAGGCAGTGGGACAGCAGGAGGGCAACTCCATGGTCCTGGCCATTTGCCCCAGGTGGTACTTGAGCGCACAGCCATCCGTGCTTGGTGGTGGTATTAAAAAGCCACAAACCCGGGCTTGGCTTGCCAGCCTTCTCCCCAAAAAGGATCTCATTTGAAGGGCAATCTTCACATATCCGATTTGCTTTCCGGAGGCAGCCCCGTGGAGTCACCGGGTTGGCACTTGCATCACCCGCATCCTTGTGGCATGGCATCGCCTGCATGGCATCGCCGGCATGCTCCGGCGGGCTCTGCCCTGTCCCCGCTCGGGCTTCAGGCCCTTTGGGGAGTCTCCGTGCATCATCCACCAGCTCCAGCGCCCCTGAGACTCTACACTGACCTGGCCGTAGCTTCAGGCACGTCCGCTCCCCTCTGCGCTCCGAGCCCACTTCCCCAGCCCACACCGTAGGCAGCCGAGCTTTGCCGACAAGGCGACGTGAAATTCTGATCCGCTGGTTCATTTTGTAACTTGTTTTCATCATTATCTCTTTTCCTAATCACACATCTCTCATAGGATATCACGAGTGTAAGTATGCTGCTTGCTTGGGCTTTTACCCTCACCTTGCAGTGACTTTATTGTTTGATTTAAATGGAGCACTAAATGATCTAAATGCAAGCTGCCTTTGAAACGGTTCCCTCCGGTAACTTTATCGTCTCAAATGCACTAATTAGAGCTAAAAGAGAAGCTTTTACTCTGTTGCTTTTTTTTCTTATAGATTAATTTAAACAAAGCTTGGCTCTATTGAAGGTGGTGTTTGTTGACAGGGGTGGGGACAGCGCTGAGCTCTCTCTTTCCCTTCCTCTTACTTTTAATTCTTGCGCGAACGCACAGGGACCATGTTACAAAACCGGGTGCGGTTGTCCCAAGGCTCTGCAGGCACATGCTTGAAGAAATAAAAGTATCAGTCCTCCAAAGAGCTGCTGAGCTGCTCGAAAGCATTGCCTCCCTCTTTCAAAGCTGATATTCTCGGTGTCTGGATGCACCGCTTGATCAGGGACTGGGTGTTCCCTATAGCCAAATGCTGGAAAAGAAACAGGCCGGCATTTCTGAACACCTTTGACACCAACCATGTTACGCTGGCTCAGTGTCCGTCTGCAGGGCTGCAAAGGCAGGACCGGAGCCGGCGGCGTCTCCTCGAGCAGATCTGCAAGCTCAGCCTCTCCCAAGGCTGCATCCGCTCCCAACGCTGCCTGGTCCCTGGCACAGCACACCCAAATTCTGCAGGATTTTGTATCCTGTAGGCAACTTCATTCATTAATAATACTTAATAGCTTAGTGCCTCTACCTTCACATGATGCCTGAAGATACCGGCGGCTCCCATCCCTCCCAGACACTCATCCCCACTTTAATAGATCCACCTACGTGGGTTTGTTATGGGATCCGTGCTCTGACCGCTTTTTCGTCCCAATCCAGTAGCTTTATCCCCGCAACTCCTTTCTAATCATTCAAACACGTGCAAAGGTTTTCTTGCATGCAACATGCGTTACTTCAGAAACATTTCATGGACCTGAACAGGTCCCACGGGATCAGAGATGGCTCCGAGGATGCCCAGGATGAGAAGGCTCTTAGGGCAGAGGATGGTCTGCTGTAAATTCCTCATGCGTTACCTGGGGGTAGCTGCAGCAGGCAGTGATGGAGAGCGATGGGTACAGCACTGGGTGGAGGTTTCTGAAGGTACAGGTTTACTTTCAGCGCCTCTGATGTCTCCACATAGCCTGTGAAATAGAAACAGAGCTCTCAGCCCTCCTGGTAAAGTGCTTTGAGACCCGCTGGAGCCGTACAGTGCTGCCGGAGGAACGGGTGTCCCGCGGGAGGATGGTTATTGCCAAAATTCATGACACTGTGACACCTCTAACCTGTGCGACTCGAAAACTCTGCTTCCCATCGGTGCGATAGCTCCCCGGTTCTTGCGGCGGAGCACCAGGCAACCTGCTTTGGTTAAAAAAAATAGAGAAAGGAAAAAAATAACACTTATTTGGCTGAATAAAAGTGCTCCAAGCTATCTTGTTACTGTTGGGAGAGCAGCTCGATTGTAATCCTGTGTCTTTGGGCACTTACAACTTTAGCAAATTAGCCTTTGGGATAGAGTTGTTATCCTTGTTTCCAGTTCCAAGCTGGATGTTTTTTGGGAACATTTCAGATTCCCTTTGGCTCTTTTCAGGAAGATTGAAGCATGAAAAACCTTAGATTTTTGTTTTTTTTAAATCGGTTAAGTAAGTTTCAAGAGGTTTGATTTGTGCTCGGTTAACTCAAAAACCCCGGTTTGATAAAGTGCCAATTTCCCAGGGACTACCCGCGCTGTGTCCCAGTCACTTTAATGCTTTGTTTAGGTCCCCAAAGCCGAAAACACAGGCTTATGTGACTCGTCCAAAGCCATCTGTCTCTGCCAGATCTGATTCACGGAGAAAATAATTTACAAATTGTGGTATTATAAAAGAACGGTGCCGGCTGAGAACCAGCGGGTTGGATGTTGAGGCTGATACCTTCAGGAGCTGTCGGAGCGTTGACCCTTGTGGGGTGGTTTCCCTTCCCAGCACATGCCCTGCCTGCGAAAAGCTAACGCTTGGAGTGTGCAACGAGACCTGCCCCCCCCCCCAAAATACGCATCCATGAATGCAAGCATGCACGAGCCCCCAGCTTTGCATGGCGGAGAGAGATGGAGCTGCACCAGCTTCGCCTTCAGGTCCTGTCCCACCACCCGCTCTTCTTGTCTCTGGCTTTTTGGAGACCTCGTGGAGACCAGTGCACTACTTTACGTATTAAATGTAATTTAAAAAAGTACAAACCTCAAGAAGATTTGTAAGTTGGGGAAACCGGTGCTGGATTCCTTCCTTCAGTATAAATTACGTTATATAGTATTGTATAATATTTTAAGTTCACAACTCCGAAACTTTACGACTGTCACAAAAGCTGCATCTCTTGGCTGCATGCAATGCACCATTTCAAATAAGAAGCCTTAATGCTGTGGATTTGATGCTAATTTTTTAATTTCCTCCTAATATTACAGCGTTGTCGTTTACCACTTCATGAGACGACATGGGGACATAGCAAAAGCTGTTTGGAAGGGGAGAACAAGAGGCTTTAGGGTTTCGTGGATTTTGGCCTTAGACAGACCCTACAGTGACATTGATTGGGATTTGTGGGGTTTAAAGCAAAAACGCAAACGGTGTAAAGCCTGCACATGGCTTGGTATGCCTGTCTTTACACAAATACGTGATAAAAATTGGGGTAGAGCCTTTAGATGCGGTCACCTCCTCTCTCTATCAGAGCCTGAATACGGGCACTTTACATGCGATTCCTTCGTGGGGCTTGGGTGCAACGTTGAGCAGCGATACCTGTGCCATAACCTGTTTCTGCTCTGCGCAGGATGAGAGACACGAGCAGAAAAAACAACGTTTTTGCCCAGTTTCGGAAAAACGAGAGGGACAAGCAGAAGCTGATAGACACCGTGGCCAAGCAGCTCCGCAGCCTGATCAACAGCCATCACTCGTGAGGGACTCGGGGACCTCCTGCCCGCGCCGGTCCCTGCACCGCAGCCTTCCACATGCCTGGACTTGGGATTCTTGTTCAAAGAGAATATATGTATTTTTTTATTCACCTGTATAGTATTCATGAAACCTGCCCTGATGACAAAATGTTCCTTGTTAAACAATCCCGGGGAAGATAGGCGGCACTGCTCGTGAAGGTGGTGTCAGGAGTCTCCTATTATAAACTCCTATTTTCAGGGGTTTATAAAGTGACGGTAAATCCTGAAGCCTGAGAGAGAAGTTCACACCCAGACTATTACTATTTTTTTTTTTTTTTATAAGCCAAATTGAAAGAATCGGTCTGACTTCCTTTTGTTAACTTATTCAGTCGCAGAACAAATGAAAACAAAACATATAGGGAGGAGTCCTGGTTTCAGGTTCTTCTCATGGGCTCCGGTAAAAGGAGCACGTGTTTAGAAAGAGGGTCACCCGTTAGCGTGTCTTGCCAGCTTGCGTACTGGATTTCGGTAGGAGAAGAGGCAAACTGATTTCCCAACTTTCCTCCTCCTTTTCCTGGAAGGGCTGATTTCTACCTTAGGCTGCAGGTCGCTGGAGCTGCAGCCCTTTCCCGCGCGTCTGTAATCAGCACAGCCACCCCCTGAGCTCCACCTCTGGGACCTGCCGGTGTCTTTTGGACCTGCGCTGAATGTAGAGGGGCTTCGAGAGCTGCCTCGTTAATTAGACTTGGAAAGGGAGAGCCAGAAGGTAATCTGGCAGGGTGTCCTGCGGTGCAGGTCTGGTGCTGGGATGCTGCTGCTCGCATCCAGCACGGTTGGGTAGCAGGAGAGGAGGGGTGCTCAGCAGGGACGGTGCAAAGGCAGACTGGGCTCTCCCGGCGTCCAGGGCACTCCGTTCAGGGTTTTTTCCTCTCTTTGCACCTCTTTTCCATGCTGATGTCCCATCTTCCCTCTCCTCCTGACACGGTGCGATGGGGTAAAGCCCCTCTGCTTCCCGCGTGTGCTCTGGCTTGCGCCGTGCGAGGAGCAGCCCTGCAAACTCGCTGCTGTCCGGGACGATAAGAAGGAACCTCCTGGAGGTCCCCGAAGTGGAGGCAGCAGGAGATGCCCCGTGGAGCAGCATCGCTCAGCAACCCCCGGCTCAGAAGTGCCTACAGACAAAATTCCCCTCTCTGTTCTGGAGGTGCCCAAACATCCTCTGCTCAAATCAAGACAGCCTTTGAGGAGGACGGTAACGCTACCAACAGGACTTTAATCCCAGGGTTCAGGTTACAGAGAGAGGGGACTTTTGCCCTTATCTTCTCGTTACCCTTTTGACTCTAATTACTGCAAGTGAAAGCTTATCCAGCCGGTTCCCCCACCTCCCAAACCCTGATGTTAAAGGGAATTAAAATCTTCCTGGTGTATGTTACGGCCCTGGCAGTGCTGCTTCAGCAGGGGCACGAGCCGTGCCCATTTCCTACCCTCGTTCGAAGGTGCTCAGCTCTCCAACCGCTTCTGGAAGCAGAGGGGTGTTTTGCTGACCTGCGGAACGAGGTTCCTTCTCCTTCCCCTCCCTCGGCGCAGACTCCCGAAGCTATGGAGGGGCAGGACTTGTTTGAACATCACCGCATGGCGTTTGCAGAAGAGCAGCAGCACTTTCTTGGTGCACTCAGCCCCTTTGCTCTCTGACCACGTGCACTTTTTGCTGTGTGTTTCTTGCCTCGGGAGCTCTTCTGACACTCAAGCTCTGGACGCACGAAGGGGATGGTGCTTTATCTTCCCTCCTTGTTCCTCAGCAATCCTCTTTTTTTTGTTTTCTTTTTGATAAGGGTACGTGTTAATTAACCCTGAAAGTAAATAGGCACGTTGTCAGCAATGACCTTCTGGGGCTGTCGTCCTGTCCCAGCAGCCTCCAGCCATGAGGACCAGTGGATTATTTGCATTAATAGGAGGGAAAGGCCAAACTTGGCTTTACGGTTCCTTGCTTTTGCCGGGGGGGGGGGGGGGGGATGGGGGGTTT